TTAAAACTCTATTTACAAATTGAAACTGTAGACGGATTGATTCCGGATTTCACATAGACCACACATTCTTGAAAGTTTTTATATTCATACTCGGATCCTCACATCATGGATTATTCGATCGATTTCTTTCTCAACATTCTAAGACGTTCACTGTTCCACCCTTCGTTTGCTAGCCTTTTCTTGGCATTTATATTTGTACAGGGAATTCCTGTAAATAGCTCTCTTTTCAAATGGAGTAGCGTTTATGCGGGCAGTGTGTTTTTCGTCTGGTTTTTGGGATACATGACCAAAGTGTGGAGGAATGGGACGAAATCAAGAAAGCTTGATTGGGATGATGAGATCGTTCTCATTACTGGAGGTTCGAAATTCGTTTATTATTGTTTGTCAATACGTGTAGACTACTCGTTACGTCGACTAAATTCAACGTTTTTAAATAAGGCGCTCGCGGAATAGGGTTGTTGCTTGCTGAGACGTTATCGATCAGGAACGTGACGATCGTAGTGCTGGACATACGAAAACCAGAGATAGATCATCGTATGTAGATGATTGTACTGCACTGTCTTGCGTTGGCATTATTCAATTCGCTCAAGTATGGGTTTAACTCGTTTTTTTTTCTCTGTGTTTCGTCGATTTTATTAGCCAATATTGTCTTCTTTGAATGTGACGTATCCAAGTACGACCAGGTGCAGAGAATAGCCAAGGAAATTATTGCCGAAGTAAGTGTTGATAAATTATTGGTGAATGTATCGTTAGCTCGTGATTCTAAGGCAGTTGTCATTCGCTAAAGGTCGGTCACCCTACGATAATCGTCAATAATGCTGGTGTAGTAAAGGGAAAGACCATCTTAGACGAATCAGAAGAAGAAATATTAAGGTATAAAAGACGCGCGCAGTTGTTCGGTTGGCTTGCATTCCTACATGCATGATGCTAAAGTTTTCCTCTTACAGCACAATCAGTGTCAATCTTCTTGCTCCGTTTTGGATAACCAAGACATTCCTGCCCGAAATGATTACGAGAAATCATGGACATATCGTGAGTAATTAGCGTGACTAGTTGATCTGATGGAAAAACAATTGAGCTAATCATTATGTCATTTAAGGTGAATATATCGTCGGCATTAGGATTTGCTGCAGTAGCGCAAACGGGTATAATATTACTGTCATGTAATTGAGAAATCACATGACACAATTTTTACTGACCAACTTGTATAATAGCCGATTATTGCGCCACCAAGTCGGGAATCGTAGCTTTTCATGAGGCATTAAGACATGAGATTAACACACGGTAATAACTAGTATGAAAGAAGTATATGCTGATATTTTGCGTTGACATCTATGCTACCGTGACTAACATTCCAGACGCGTTCAATAATTCTTACGATTAGCTACAACGCGGGTAATATCCGATGCACGCTTGTTTGTCCTGGACACGTAGAGACTGGCATGTTCGACGGAGTGTCTTATAAATACCCGTTCATCACTCCAACAATTGCTCCAATTGAAGTAGTAAAAAAGATTGTAACCGCATTAGACAAGAATGAGACATCGGATATTTTGACTCCGTATTACGTCCATCTGTTGCCAATGCTTAGAGCACTTCCCGGATTCATGCACGATTGGGTTTATACAGTAAGCTATTACAAATTTTGTTGTATGCGTTTATTTGCACGTCAAAGTCTTGAATATTTGTATATTATATG